TAAAATCTATTTGTCTTTTATATACACTCCCGGTGTGTATATAAGATCTATTTGTCTTTTATATACACTCCCGGAAAGTTGATAGGGCATTCGAATGATCTGTCGCCGGTGCGAAGACCGCGCGATCGGCTGTGTTATCCGGAGTCACCAAAGGGACCGGGGCGAACCCCGGGTTGGTCTTGGTCTGATAAATGCACGCCAGACCGTGAGGTCGGCGCTTCTTCCGCATGTATTAGCTCTAGAATTACCACAGTTATCCATGTAGGATGTGACGATCAAAGGAACCATAACTGATTTAATGAGCCATTCGCAGTTTCACTGAGACAGTTTAAACTTGCACGTGTATGGCTTAAACTTTGAGACAAGCCTATGACTACTGGCAGGATCAACCAGGTAGCGAGGACGCCAGGGGCGCGCGACCGGTCTCGCCGCCGCCGCCGGGCGGGGCGGGGCGGTCCGCTCGACCGAACTTCGGTGGAGATTTCCGTGTTGTTTTCTGATTTTCATCATCCAATAAGATAAACTTGAAGACCGAGGTTTAAACTTGGTGCCCCTGAATCCTCAAACACTCACAAAAACCCAAGTTTTTGGCCTACCAAGGAGGCTAGCATTTCGGAGTGTATATAAAATCTATTTGTCTTTTATATACACACCGGGAGTGTATATAGCCACGGCGAAAATTAAAAATCTAGATGGACATAAGTTACATTCCAAATTCTTTGGAGAATTCCGGACTCATAGAGCTCCCTTGATGATTAACAATGAGTTTATAGTATTTTGCTTGTTTTAAAAGTGATCACTGACAGTAGGGTACATGTATTACCACTCTCAAATGGCAGCGTACATGTACAGAATCGGGGTAGTACAGTGTAACATTACCTGTACATTGTACTTGATCTCCCCATTTTTATGGAACTATCATATTTCATTGTGTTATATTATAACGTTACATGATGGAGGTTATGTTTGAGACCTTGAACAGAAACTACAGTAAAAACTTCTCCCAGTTTTCTGTCAGTCTCCCCAAATGACCAAGAATGGTAGGTGCAAAATGTCAGATGTCTGTGTGAATGCAGGCCCTAGAATAAATTCTCTGTTGGCCAAGCAGATCTTCTATGGTGTTGTGTGGAAGGTGACATCATAGCACTCCATCAATCAATCTTCTACAGGTCTCATGTACTGACAGTACATGTACTAATGTCATTCATTCAATTGTTACTCAAATAACAATCATTCAAATAGTTACTCAAGCAACTGCATATAATTTTCAATCATTACGCTATTCATGCATTCCCTTCCTCTCACTCTTTCCCTCTCAATTGCTTAACACAATGCTAGTGCAAGGTACTTTATTTTTTAAATTTCAGACCTGTGTAAAACTGAGCTACAGCTAAACACCTATGAGAACACATCAGACACGTGACAGACATGAGATAGTACACGTATTTTATTTTCTTCATCAATACATGGGTCCTTCTATGTTTCTAAGCCTTGTGTCACATTGTACGCCATGTTTGCTTTTAAAGTGTGGGCTAGATGTTCAGTAGTAATTTTCATACAGCTAGTCTAAGTGTTTAACAGGCATAATAACACCATATTCCTGATACAACAAGATCTGCTTTAGCTTCATGAATAGTTTAACCCTCTCTGTCCCAAGTGCTGCTAGTAAGGTGGCGGATTCGACAGGTTCTGTCAGTCCTTGGGACAGTGAGGGTTAACACGATACGAAAACTCAGTCCCTTCTGAGAGGGAACTGTTCCTCCTGGATGCCATCCTTGGTGACGATGTTGATGATGATCTGGTCGCCGGTGTAGATGTCACGTTCTGCTGCAGAGATGAAGACATCCTTCACCAGGGCTACTGCCTTCTCCTTGGGGACAGGCAGACGCTCCACTCCCTGCATATTCTTCATTCCAATCTGGTCATGAAAAACAAAAGGTGGTTTAAAATCGTGCAACCTAAAGGTATTAACAACCAATTTTTGAAATTTTTAAAAAGATCAATGAGCCTTGAAACAGTATTAACAGCTCTATGACTTTTAATGGACCTTCGGGTGGACATGCTTGGGTGATTAGCCTTGTTTTGCTTGACAGCAAAAGCTCCACACATTTGCCCCCTCTAGAGACAAGTACTGGTACTGCAGGAAATC